CAGCTTCCCAGAACTGACTGCTCCCTCTGCCCTCTTCTCAGCCGGGCGGTGGGCACATGCGCAGAGGCAACAGGCTCAGCTCCTGGAATGGAAGCTGAGCTCACTATCTCTGAGGACGGCGGTGGCAGTGGTGGGGGAAGTGGGAAGCGATGGGGGCCGTAGGAAGGGAGTGGGCAGGCATCTAAAGCAAAACAAAGTGCTGAGGGGGGGGGAAGGTTGGTGCTTCATTTTGCTTCAGCAAAATGGGATCCCTAAACTGGGTTGCGAACTGAAACGTGGACCAGCCTGGTTTGTCAGTTTTTCTGGTTCGTGGTACGATCCGTGCCCATTTCTAATTCACACTAAAGAACAAGCCCTAGGAATGCCCATTGGACTCTGTGATTTCCAAGATTTCATTTAAGATACCTTCTGTGTACACTTCAAAATATAGTGTGAAAACACTTTGTAGCTGTTTTCTCCACACCTGCACAATGACTTGGCTCATGTTTGAGACATCATCCTGTCACAGGTACATTGACAAGGTGCTGTTGCTGGACCTGGCAGGAAGTATGGCTTGACTCAACGGAAACATGAGATGCTGACTTATGTGGGGTCAGCTCACTGGTTCGTCTTGTTCAGTATTATCTTAACTGATTGGCGACGATTCTCAAGGGTTTTAAACACAAAATCTTTCCAGCCTTCACTGGGGATGCCAGAGATCAAACCAAGCATGCAAGGCCAGTGCTCTACCCCAGACCTAGATTTTAGGATTCCTTCCTATTCCCATATTTGAACTAAATCTTTAGCTCTAATACTAGAAATAGAGAATTTTATGGTTGTGTGCAGTTAAACTGGAAATAATGTACGGCAACCTGAATCGAGCTTTCAAAGTAACTCAGATACTTAAAGTTCCACCTTGTCTCAGTAGGTTTCCATGGTTCAGCAGGAATTTGAACACAGGTCTCTATAGTCCTAGTCCACTATTCTACCACTATACCACTAGATATCATACTGGGAGTAAAGGATGCGGGACCCAGCATGGTGTAATGTGTAGAGTGATGGACTAGGACTCAGAGACCTGGGATTGATTCCCTGCTCAGCCATGGAAATTCACTGTGTGTGTGTATGTAACTGTTAAAACCACTCCTTAAATGTTCCACTTACTTTAAAATAGGGTCACTATCAGTCAGTTTCAACTTGATGGCACATAACAACAAAAGGAGTAGAGGACAGGGTGTGTTTGCTCAGCAGCGAATGGAATCTTTTATTGATAATTTATAAAGGTGTATAAGATGTACTGATAGATCAAAACCGTTTATACCCTGCCTTTCCCAAAAATTCTTTCTATTGTGTAACGACAGTTCCAGGCATGCCTCTGCACAGGTTGTTCCACTACTAATATCACAGTTTCCAAACGGTACAAAACATCACAGTACAAATTGGAAAAAGGCGTTTGCTCAATAGTAGCTGTACTAGAAATACAAAGTCTTTAGAAGCTAATGAAAAACAGAACTACCACTTGCTCCATCCGAGACCATCTTCTGAGAGAATGTACACTTTCTCTGTTTCGCTCAATCTCTACTTTGTCTGAGCCAAACTTTCTGACTCATTCTAAATGGAGGATTTTGAGGGTGGAAGGAGTGCAGTAAGGATGGTGCAGCAAGGAAGAACAATGGAGAAGCATAAGAAAACAAACTAAGCCACAGCAAAAAAATGGCACAAAATCATAAAGTACCTCCTCATTTTAGTGGAAGCCCTGTCTTTGGGCAGAAATGCTCCTATAGTTTTAGGGTGAATCTGAGCAACTAAGAAAATTTTAGCTTATGGTTGTTGCAGGTTTTTCGGGCTGTTTGGCCGTGTTCTGAAGGTTTTTCTTCCTAACGTTTTTGCCAGTCTCTCTGACCGCCATCTTCAGGGGATAGGAGTTAGAACTCTGTGTTCTGGTGTAGTGAACTACACTATACTAGAACACAGACAGAGTTCCGACTCCAGTCCTCTGAAGATGCCGACCACAGAGACTGGTGAAAGGTTAGGAAGAAAAACCTCCAGAACATGGCCAAACAGCCTGAAAAACCTACAACAACCATCAGATACCAGCTGTGAAAGCCTTCGAGAATACATCAAAATATTAGCTTGCTAATGAATTTATTTAGTGCTGTAGGAGAGTATCTCCCAGATATTTGGCTTGCATAATGTTCAACAAGCTCTTTATGATTTTGAGTCTCCCTTGAATTTTGTAAGACCAAAAAAAGAAGGAGATCATGGAATGGGTATAAAAGATGGCATTCATGAAGATCAGTAAGAGAGAAATCTGGAAGTGGCAACCATTTACTAAGAAGGAGCTGACATAAGGGATAGAAAAAGACCTGGTGGAAGAAAAGCAAAGATATACAGAAATGAAAGTTTAAACTTTTTTTGAACCAGGGTTGGCATCAGATATTTTGCTACCTCCGGCAAAAGGCATGATGTGTTCACCCCATTCTATGCCCAGAAGGTAACTGGATTGCAGTTGAATCTTCCTTTTAACACTGGCACTGGAACAGAGACACTGCCATACCTGAGAGCAGTAGGATAGTTCAGGGGATGCGCACAGTAAAACAGGCAGTCACAGCCAGGAAGAGAAAAAGTAGGGGCAAGGAAACCTCAGTGTCTGTAAGTGTTGCCCTTTGTTGAATTGTGGGTGTTGAGAGGTTCCTATAAACTGTGGGTCCTGAATCTGAATATACTAGCATCCCTCATTCCTGTAGTTCATTCATTCAAAATTCTAATAAATTCTGAGAAGCACCCTAGCCCTCTTGGATAGATCATGCAGAATCTCCTGCCAGTAGGCATCCATGAAGGGTGTGGGAGGGACATCGTGTTGGACTGTACGATTGCCTTAGGAAGTCAAGCCCTAGAGGGCTGGCCCTGCCATTAGGCAAAGTGAGACAACTGCCTCAGTCGGCAAATGGTGGAGATGGTGGTGCGGGCAAGCAAGAACTGGAAGGCGAGTAACAGGAACTGTTCATCCTGAGCTCCTTGGCCCTACTCTTGCTTGACATTCTACTGCTCCTTCTAAAACTAGGCAGTAAAATGATCACAGAAGCAGGAGTAACTGCTCTCAGTTCTCTTGGCTATTCTGTCAGAATGATAGTGCAAATCGGGCCCAGAGAGCAACTGCAAATGACTGGATAGTGGTATGGAGATGAGAATTGGTTCACTCATGGAGGGAATTCAATGGAGCATTTTGCCCAAGAAAGGTCCAGTCAAACCTAGAATTTGCGCATCATATTGTTCCAAATTTAGGGTTTGATGGATGTCATCCTTGAGTTGCTCCAATTCTGTGTTTAGATGTGATGCAACCCCTGTGGGCTACATGAGACCCATTGAATGTATATTTCTCTTCTTTGCTCTGTAGGCAGCAACTGCTGTTTTTCTTAATCTGAGTATCTTTTCCTAGCACTGCCGTGTCAGTGCGACTGAAATCTCAACTTGTATCTCAGGCTCTAGGTCTTGAGATTCATCTAAACCAATTCTGAAGTCTTTCCTTTGTTGCCTCCCAAATTTATGAGGACCTGACTATTCTCTGTTCTTGAATAGTTAAAAAAAAACAAGTTTTATTTTCTGGCATCCCTGGGTGTACTAGAACTGTTTTTGGCAACAAGGACAATGTGGTCACATTTTAAATTTTTGGATCCTGACTAATGCCTATTTGTAAGATCAGAGTTTACTAGGAAAGATAACATTCACAGCTGTGATGCTATCTGTTTTCTTCAGAAAGCTGAAGAGTCTATGGCGAACTTCCATAGGAGTGGCTGAGAAAAGTGATTTAGTTCACCTTTGGTTCACATTTCAGTGCAAACTCACCAAATAAGCACTTCTTGAACTTGGAATCCCAACTTTGTTGAAGTCCGTGATACAGCTCAGAAAATTCATACGAAAATGCATAAAGCTGGAAAAGCGGGCACAAAAACGTGTGAATTTGGAACAGCATATTGAAAAATATTTTCAAACTGCATAGATATGTATATGTATTCTGGAGGGGTTAAAAATAGTGTTGGGACAAATAAATTTAGGAATTGGAGAACTGAGAATCATAGTGAGACTGAATTGGCCAGATTCATTGACCTCTATCTATAGTGGAGGAACAACCAACCCATTTGAAAATTCTTTATTGCAGCTCAAGGCAAGGCAAGAAACTCTCGGGTTACTTTTGCTGCTGTTATCCTTCACCCTTTCTTCAGGCCCCAGTAGGCCAGCATCCTGTTTCTCCTAGTGGCCACCCAGCTCCCTCTGGGAAACTCACAAATAGAGCCAAGTTTGGAACAATTACTCTTTTTAAAATACAATCCCCAGAATTCACCAGTCACCAAGGCTATAGCACAGCTTTTCTTGTTTTGTGTAAATTACTCTGTTTTCTTACCTTATAGCAACAGATGCTTCTCGATTAAAAAAACAACCTTAGTATTCATCTACTAATTGTACTATATATTGCCCACGGGAAACTCAGCACACAGCTGATGAGACTGTTCTTTGTGGTTTCTGCTGTGGCTACTTGTGCAGCTAAAGAAGTGAGTTATTTTTCACGGAGCTCAAATGTGATTCTTCACAGGTAGTTGAAATATCTTGGTTTTTGTTTCTTTTACATCGAAAGCACTTGTCTGTATCATTGGAATTCATCTTCTTAATTCTGATACCATCTGTGATGTATTGAAAAATCTCTGACATTGGCTTCCCGATCTTATTTGCTCATTTGAATAAGAAAGAGAAGCTTAAATTGTTATTTTAGAGGATTTCCCTTGAAGTGGTACTCCATAATAAAGTTTGTTCATCCCAGTTTGAATGTATGAAACCGTTTGTGCTACAGATATATAGAAACATACATGAAGGCTAAGTGCTGTAAACAGTTGCAAAAAACAGGGCAGGGCTTATCACTCTTAAACAGATATAACTTGGGCTGGCTAAGGCTGCACATTTTCAAGAAGGAAGTAATTTGTAGGTGGGTGGAGACGTCATTTGGTTCATTGGAACATTATCTTGCATATCCAGTCTATCATCAAAGTGGAGGCTTTGTTCAGAGTGCAGGTTTTGTTCAGAGTTATTTAGACTGGACTGCTCAGCAGCTGGAATAAAGGTTCAGACAGCGAGGATTACTGGCATAAGAAGAAGACCAGTAGAAGAAGAGTCAAAATAAGCTAGAAGGAAGCTGAGATATTGTCTGTCTCTTCCTGACGAACCACCAACATCTTCTAGAAGGCTGGCCTTTTTCCTATCAAGGACCATAGAATGGGTGAGATGCTCTGTATGTTCTACTGCTTAGTGCTAGACAGGAAAGTTATATATATTGCACTAGCCATAGACCACAGCAAGAATATCAACTAGCAGAAAAGGGGGAGGATGAGTTCCCTCTCTTCTGACCACTTATCATCCCCTAAAAAGAACTGCTAGAGGGGCTTGAAAAACCTTGGGAGCTGTTTTTTCAGGCTTCACAGTGAAGGAGAGGGGAAGAATGCATGTTGCCAATAACATACTGAACTTAAGTTACTCTTCAAGTCTGCAACATTTTATGATGTGATGACTATGCAAGTAAATGAAGCTTTGACTTGTGGACTGAATAATATGTTCCTTTGGACTAAGGACTGCCCTGGCTGTTTCTGAGATCAAGACACAGGCAGGGGCAAAGCTCTTGTTTTTTTGTATGTAAGGCACGGCTTGAAAGAAGGTAGCAGCAGGGAGCTACAGCTGCCAGAATCTCCCAGCCAGCATGATGAGGGCATGCTGGGTGGCAGATTGCAAAAACTGTAGCCCCAAAAATAACTTTTCCAAGATTGGCTGTAAGATGACTTTCCGGGCTGCTCTCTAAGATAACCTCACATATTTCTTTGCTATATTTCAGTTGGGATTTAAGTATGTTTTTCATAAATGTAAACCAGCGGTTGGCTAACAAGGTTTGAAACATAGCTCCCGAAACAGTGATCTAGGAAACAGGGCTTGTTAGAATATTCTGTGATTGAAGAGGTATCTAACCAAAAAGGGCTGCCCAAGGCATTTTGCTGCCTGAGATGAAGAACAAGGTGGCATCACCTCTTCCATTCCATGTAGAAACTGGCAGCTGAATCTTCATTCAACATGGGCAATGGACAGCCCTATCTATGCATCTGAGGCTGGCAGGCCAGGTTAGAGGGGGCAGGGCAGGCAATGTGGGACATGGCATTCTCCTCCGGCGACTTGTATCTCATTTCAGCCCAGCATCTGCCTCAGGGTGCAATTAGAGGCAAGAGCAAGCATTTAATCACACCAGTAAGGACAATCTTGCATTTGCTGGTGAATTGCTTCAGCCCAGCCCACAAAAGCAGAAACACTACTTCTGGACTTAGAAAAAAGCCCAGCTTCAGCATACATTGGGAGCAAGCCGGAGCACATTTCCCTATATGGTGCATGATCCCTAAGAAACAGATCACGCTGCACCACAAGTGGTCCAGACTACAATCTGCTTCCCTGTGTGCTCACACTCTTCCTCTTCCTAATAGTTGGATAGGCCTTGCAAGTAATGGACATTTGTAACAGCCAGGTAGTATTTATCAAAATTGTTAATCCAGCCTAGCAGAATAAGTGATGGTGTTTCCGAGTGGCCTTGACCTCAAAAATATATTGACCAGATTTAAAAGCCATGGGGACTTTGAAGAACAGGGTCTGCCAAAGGAAGGGATCACAGCTCAACCTCGTCAATACATGCCTTGGTGGGAGGCATACAAATCCTCAGCCTAGCAGAATAAGTGATGGTGTTTCCAAGTGGCCTTGACCTCAAAAAATATATTGACCAGATTTAAAAGCCACGGGAACTTTAAGGAACAGGGTCTGCCAAAGCAAGGGATCACAGCTCAACCTCGTCAATACATGCCTTGGTGGGAGGCATAAAAATCCTAATCCAGTCCCTGACATCTTTGTTTGCAAAGCTCAGGTGGCAGATAATAGGAAAGAGGTCTGTGCCTGAGACTCTGGAGAGCTGCCAGCAGTCAGAAGAGACCAAACTGTCTGAGATAAGTAAATAGCAGAGTTTGGAACATTGCCTGTAGCTGTTGTTGCACCATTCATTTTATTGCAAATGAGCCAGATAATTATTAATCTTATTGAACACCATTGAGAAGAAGAACATTTTGGTTATGGGATATTGATAAATTATGTTTCTGTGGCTGGTATACCAGAAAAATGCAGGGAAATTTTCTTTCTTTTTGAAAAAGCAAAGAAAATTTAGGATTGAAAAGAGAATGGCATACAATTTGAATTTGTGTGTGTATGTGCGCGGTCAAAATGCCTCTAGAAATACTTTAAAATGTGACTTTTAAAAATGACTAGAAGTTTTTTATTCATTATGCCCCAAATAACTTTGTTCCTAAAAGTTGAATTGCTTTTGAAATATAATTTTGTTACACCATCACATCTAGTGACAATTACCTGTACAGTATTCATTTGTAACTCTATACTTCACAGCTCTAGTCAATAAACTGACCTGGCAAAGTAGCTATTTTTCTTGTATTCCCAATCAGACTGCAAAAAAGCTACATTTTCTAAGTCACTGTGCTGCTAAGGATTTCAGGAAACCATAGTTTTAAAAAGCAGTATTCCTAAACTACGTTCCTAGAGGGGAGAGTCCTCTTGGTCACCAATGTGGTTTGCTCGGTGGCATAAAGTGCTGCTACTCTAGAAACAGAAGCCAAAAGTCTCTTTGGACATAAAGGAGTCATTGTGTGTTTCCTGGAGGTTCTATCCTGGCTTTGGGAGAATAACAGCCAAGGTATTCTTCATACGGTTGCTGTTTTGTTTTGCTTTCCTGCCTTTTTATTCATGCAAACAGATTCAATCTCCTCCACCCTTCTTTTTTTTAGCTTTTAATAACATGTATTGAAGAGTCAAGGCAGTGATGCAGTGGAGGTGCTCTAATGTTGGTGGAAGATAAGGCAATGACAATAGAGCAATTGATCAGCAAGCTGGAGAGGTGTGGTGGGAAACACACAATAATAAATAATGGGAATACTGTATGAAAGGCTGATCAGATCAGAAAGGAGTGGGCATGTCATTATTGACTGATATCCCCCCCCCCGAACACAGTTTCTGTTTTTCTAATTACTATAGCAATCTGCAATGCTGCCTTTAGGCAAAATGAGCTGGTATCTGTAGACTATGGGGCATTTTATATAACTGTGCCTTCATATAGGTGTAGTGAACTGGATAGGTTGTAGGTTTTGAAACACAGAAGCTGAGTTCCAGATGTCTGAATACACATAAAATCCTCCAGATAGTCTTGTGGAAGTTACTCCTCTATCCAATTTTATATGAAGACTCTGTTCACAACCTGAGTTCGATCTTGATGGGCTCAAGTTGCTGGCTTGAGGTTGACTCAGCTTTCCATCCTTCTGAGGTTGGTAAGCAGTGTACCCACCTTGCTGGAGGGAGGCATATGTGTAGGCTGCATAATTAAATTGTAATCCACCCAAAGAGAGCTTTAAGCACTATGGCAGACCTGGGCAAAGTGCGGCCCTCCAGATGTTGCTGAACTGCAAATCCCAACATTCTTCACTGTGTGGGCTAGGCCCAACTCTCCTCAATATTGGCTACGTGGGCTAGGCCCAACTCTCCTCACTATTAGCTGGGAGGGCTAGGAATTATGGGAGTTGCAGTTCAACAACATCTGCAGGGCCACATTTTGCCCACCCCTGCACTATGGGGTGGTGCATAAGCAGCACACTTTTTGCTTTGTACTATCTGGAAAACAAAAAGCTTCTTAAAATTAGGAAGTGCATGAAGAACAACTTTCTTCAATATGGCACCTTCCATATGGGCTGGACTACAGCTTCCATCATCCTCAGTGAGCAAGGAGAGCAGACATAGAAGACATAGCCCAATGGCATCAGAACAGAATGGTTCTCTTCCTGTCGGGAATAATAATAATATTAATAACCCTAGAACTGCAGAACTAGAAGGAACCCTATGGATCATTGAGTACAGCACCTGTCAATGGGGCACCATGGGAAATTTAAACTCTCAACCTGTGGTTCTGCAGTCAGATACCTAAACCACTTAGCTATCCAGCAGTCGTATTCCACTTACAACCTGACTATAAATGGATAGCTTTCTTCTGAAAGCAATAAAAAGGAGTTGGTCAATTCAAGCTGGGAATAAAAATCCAAATATATACTTCAGAATGATACATATTTACCATGTACAACAGATAATGTTTTCATCAGGCATACAAGAGGATGAGCACTAAATTACTACACAGCGTGGATTACCTGCTGCCATAGAAACTAATTTTGGCCAACCCAATCCTCTAAAGCTGATGTGCAAAATCAATCTCACATCTTAACGAGCTTGTGGAACTGAATGTTAAAAAGCTTTGAAACCGAAGCATGGAAAAAAGAATGTGTGACTCAAAAGCATCGCTTGTAAGTCCTCTGGCTGAAGGGGGCTGCATGGAATAGAAACACCCTTCTCTTCACAGAGAGTTCAGATCAAAATGTTAAGGGAAATACATATTTCCTGCTATTATGATGTTTTGTCCCAGACACATAGTTTCTTCAAGGTTCCAGTCCCAAGCAAATCACTTGTGAATGAAGCCCATGTTCACTTTCCGATGGCCATTCACAAAATGAATACAAGCTGATTTACAGCATGTGGAGACAAGGTTCAAGGTTTTGATGGCTATGCATAAAGCCCTCCATGGTTTGGGGCCATACTACGTACTGTACTCATCAGAACGTCTCTCCCCAATGTCATCTGCCCAAGCCAACAAACCCTATCAGGCTATGCTTCTACAGGTATGTTCACTTTCCGATGGCCATTCACAAAATGAATACAAGCTGATTTACAGCATGTGGAGACAAGGTTCAAGGTTTTGATGGCTATGCATAAAGCCCTCCATGGTTTGGGGCCATACTACGTACTGTACTCATCAGAACGTCTCTCCCCAATGTCATCTGCCCAAGCCAACAGACCCTATCAGGCTACGCTTCTACAGGTAGCCACTCCAAAGAAGGCTCGGAGGTCATCTACAAGAGGTTGTGCCTCCTCCATGGTGGCACCGACTGTGTGGAACCAGCTCCTGGTGGAGTTATGCCGGGGTCCCTCCCTGCTAATATTAAGAAGGCAGTTTAAAATACTGCTTTTCATGGAGACATTCTACACAATGACCCTGCTTGATTTCATGCCTCTTATCCTGTTGTCACAGAGATAATATGCCTTTGGTGTCATTTGTTTTTATTTCTTCCACTGTTTATAAGTTGTTATACAATA